GGATTCGTTTATTACCATGGCCCCCAAGAAGTGCAGACTTAAATCAGATAGAGCATGCATGGGATATTCTGGAACGACGTATTCGACGTAACTGGTGAGTTTGAAACCATGACTGATTTGGAGCAAGCAGTTCGTGACAAATGGAAGCAAATCCCTCAAGCATATTTTGCTGTCTTAATCCGAACTATGCCTGATCGAATGAGAGCCATAATTAGGGCTCGCGGAGGTAATACACTCTGCTGAATATCGTTTTCCATAAAAAATGTTTTTATTTAAAAAAAAATTGTTTGCAGATTTTCAATTTTTTTTGTTTATGGTTTTTTCTGTGTAACATTCTTGAGTTGTAATAAATTTGACTTTGAAATTTTGTTTATTATTAAATACTCAATTGGAAACATCTTAAAGTTTTTTAAACGCCAGTTTTTAGGGAAAATTCGGTTAATTTTGCACCCTAGTGTATATACTAAATGTTTCATATTTAATAGGTGTTTTTTAATGTTTACTTAAAAAATAATAATTGGTTATAAAGTGTATGTACCGGGTGGTCCAATAAGCCGATCTCTCGGCTATATATCAGAAACTGTTCATGTTATAACTTTAGGAGAAAAAATTCCTTAGTAAAAGTGGCCAAGAGAAATCGCTGGAAATAACTTTCAAGATTCTGGATTAACCGCTAGGGTAACCTGCGAAGAAAAATTTGAAAATCAGTTTTTTGGGAAATATGTCCAATTATACCAAGTGTTAAATAAGTAAACTAGAAACAGGCATAAATTCTGCACAAAGTACTTTTTTTTTTATTTTTTCAAATAAAGGGTGGGGGAGAGTGGGAAAGTATTTGTGGATAAATACCTATAACTTTGGTATGGATCAACCGATTTTAACAAAATTAGTGTCATTAGAAAAAGTATGGATGAATTAATTTACATCTACTATAAAATAATTGCATTTAGTTTTAATTGTCGTAGGTAGAGGGTACTTTCGAATAAAAAAAAATAAAAATTGTTTTTCTTCAAAATTTTTAATGGAAACACCTATTTATTGTAAATTATAATGGAACTGGATTAAATTCGTAACAAAATGGCGCAAACCGCATGTTAATAGCTTTTATCGAACTCGAGATATGAATAAAAACGCATAAACATAAGTAAGTATAGTATTGACACACCCTGTATTATAAATTAAATTAAAAAATAAGTCAGTAGGTACTTTCAAAATTTTTTATAGCAGAAAACTCTTAATGTTGATACCTATTTTGACCATTGTTATTTCATATGATTAAAAACTGTTTTTTCGAAACTAAGTAGGCTACGACAATGAATTTGACAGGGAGTTCATATTGTTTATTTATTGACAGCAGTCAAAATATTGTTAAGAAGTGTTATATGTATTATAATTCGAATTGTCGAAGATATCCTGGCAGGAGACATCGTGGCAAAGAAGTAGAGATTTCGGACTACTTATATGTGGATTCTGTTCAATTAAAGCAAGAACATTGATTGAATTATCTTTGGTCATAACTCTACTACGTCGTTTAAAACAAGGACGAGAAAAACTACCAGTTTCTCTTAATCTTTTTGCCCTTCTTTCAAATACTTCTTTGCCATAATGTCTCCTGTCAGGATATCTTACAAAACATATACGTGATGCAATAGCGGCATTTTGGTGACATTCGAAAGAAACTCCAATCATATCATACAATTTGATATTAATTACTAATATTACCAATATTAATATCTATTAAAAAAAGTGCAATCTTTAATTCAAATTATAATATAGCACTTCTTAACAATGTTTTGACTGCTGTCAATAAATAAACAATATGAACTCCCCGTCAAATTCATTATCGTAGCCTACTTAGTTTCGAAAAAACTATTTTTTACAAAATAATTATCAACATTAAGATTCTTCTGCTATTATTAAAATTTGAAAATACCTACTGACTAATGTAATTTATAATACAGGGTGTGTCAATACTATACTTACTTATGTTTATGAGTTTTTATTCATATCTCGAGTTCAACAAAAGCTATTAACAATAGCTTATTAACATGCAGTTTGCTCCATTTTGTTACGAATTTAATCCAGTTCCATTATAATTTACAATAAATAGATGTTTCCATTAAAAATTTTGAAGAAAAACAAATATTAATTTTTTTATTTGAAAGTCCCCTCTACCTACAACTATTAAAACTAAATGCAAGTATTTTATAGTAGATGTGAATTAATTTATCCACACTCTTTCTTATGACACTAATTTCATTAAAATCGGTTGATCCAAACCAAAGTTATAGGTATTTATCCACAAATACTTTCCCACTCTCCCCCACCCTTTATTTGAAAAAATAAAAAAAAAGTACTTGAACAACTTTGTGCAGAATTTATGCCTGTTTCTAGTTTACTTATTTAACACTTGGTATAATTGGACATATTTCCCAAAAAACTGGTTTTCAAATTTTTCTTCACAGGTTACGCCCCCTAGCGGTTAATCCAGAATCTTGAAAGTTATTTCCAGCGATTTCTCTTGGCCACTTTCACTAAGGAATTTTTTCTCCTAAAGTTATAACATGAACAGTTATTTCTACTTATTGGACCACCCGGTACATTATAAATTATGTACATAATACTTACCTTTGTTTAACGTTTAACTATATAAAAAATGTAAAAAAGAATATTATTTTGTAAAAAAATTCATGATGAAATTTTTAAACAAATTATTAGTTAGTTTGCAATTAAATAAAAAGTTTATTGAATACTTTTATAATCCAAAAAAAACTTATATACATTGAAAAAAAAACATAATTTATGTTGGATAGTTTTCGAGATAATATACCCTACCTAAATTTGAAATTGTAATTTCTCTTTCCATTGCTTTAAATTCACAAACTTCCTTCAGTACGGTCACAGAGGCTTGCTCAATAACCCTTTAGGTTTAAAGCTTTGCCAAGAGTTTATTTTAAAAAGAATCATTTTGCAATTTAAAGGTACGTTTTTACTGAAGCGTTTTTTATGATCATCGCTGAGCGATCCTCGCTAAGCGATGATCGCGGTGTACCGCTTGTATGGTCTGTTATCTCGTCGTCTTGACTGACACGTCTGTCGCTGGAGCCGTTAGCGTCAATCATTGGCGACTGGTCCTAGAGCAGACACAGTCGCAAACGCTGAGCGACTATAGTGGCTTGTGCGAGTGATTTTGAGACTTTTTTAATTAGTGATTCTCTTTTAGAGACACTGGATATGAAATACAGTTTGTAGATGACTTTTTCATATCCTGTTTGACTAAACTTAACACAAAATCAAACTGAAATTCATGTTCATCGCTGTAACAAAATTGTTCACTAGACAACGGAAAACTCACTCATCAAATCATCGCTTCCGTAAAAACACTCTCAACGATGACGGCAACAGACGCGCCAGTAAAAACGTCCCTTTAGGTACAATCATCGCCAGCTAACTTGGCGATAGAGTACGCACAACGTCACAGAGAAATAAATTATGTTTACGCCCTATGATTCACCCTATTGGTTTACTATTTCTGATAAGTCTATTCAGTAGCGTAGCGGTATAGGACAAATAATTATTACACAATTAAAAAAGTAATATTTTTCACAAGCTTTAATATATTATTAGAGAGATGAAATTGTAATTTTGTTTTATTCAATTTAAATAGTAAGCCATTGGTTTATAATATTTATTTAACTTAGTAAACAAATTATACAATAATGACTGAGTTTAATTCACAAATCTACGTTGATATTGTGTTTCAAATTACATGGAGGATATTGTATAAATAAATGCAACACAGTAATTATTTAATTTTAATATTTTGGTTTTATTATAACACTAAAACAAGTACCCGTGTTGAAAAGTGGTATCTATTTGAAAATAAATTGATTGTTAATAATTTTCTTCATCTTCATCTTCGGAAGAAGAAAACTCTGTACTGGAAGAGTCACTGTCAAGATTTATAATAATTGTAGCTATTTGCGTGGCGTTATCAGCAACTATCTCGCTGTCCATATACTCATCTTCCTTCTTAATGACATGGTAACATCGTTTTCTCCGCTCATTTGCTTCAATATTAGTGAATTCTTCCTCGGTGAGTTTTTGTACGTCAGCTAGCTTAAATGTAACGTTTTTCTGCCTTATATTATTTTTCACTGTAGCCCATATTAGTTCAATAGGGTTTAGGTCAGGATGGTAAGGAGGTAAACGTAAAGGAATATGGCCATGCGCACGTAGAATTTCGTCGAATTTGTATTTTATATGATGAAGTTTATGATATTTAATTATTTCATACAGTTCAGGTTTTAAAGCACTAGGTGTAAATGAAATATACATTTTACATGTTTTTACACTAAATAAGTAAATATTATAATGCCTCGAATGTCTTTTAGTAAAATCTACGTGAAATAATAACTTCGACTATAGTGAGGGAAATACCTGTGGGATTATGACATACTTTTCCAAACGTAGGCAAACAGTTATTTTGTTGAGGAAATTACACCCGTCGAGGATAATATTTCATTAAATATCACATTAAATATAATCTCCCGAGATTGTCCACTAATAACAGAATTATTCTTTCTACTATTTTTCAACGCCATCGTTAGAAATTGTCACAAATACACTTAACTATCCGAAATAATAAGAAGTCTAAAAAATAATAGCCGCAAATCACTTAAGTGTTACGCACCTGATAACTGGGAGGAGACTAAAGACCACCACCTAAGCCACTAAGCAATTTTGGGTTTGTGCGCGCCGCCAAGTTAGCAGGCGATGACAGTAGCAAAATTTAAATCAGATCATCATATACTCAGAATATTTGTACAGTTAGTGATTCAAGTATGTAGATTTAGATATTATATTTTATCTGAGATAAAATATTTTAGTAATATTTTTTCCTGAAAGCTGTCTCTTATAAATATACAGCGTCCCCTAATGTGCTATACAAATACATAAATCATAGTTTTAATGATCATTACAATACTAATATTTTTTACCTGTGTAACAGTGGTTTGTACTGAAGAGGATTGGGACAAGTATTTCTTCTTCCAACGACGTATTCAACGTCGTGTATACCGCATTTAGATATATCAGTTTCTACAATCCTAATTCTTTCCTCGAACCTATCAAAACTTTCATCTTTTTCCATCGATCTATTTTCGAAACTAGAATCTTGTAACGAGTAGTAACTCTTCAAACTCTTTTCCTGATTTATCGAAGTATCTGACCTGTAACAATAAATGCTTTAAATTGATGTGTAAGTACCTAGTAATGCATACAAGTAATTTAGAAAGCTAGAGAACACAACCTCAAAAAGACAAGTAATATTCATGGATTTTAGAAGTGCATTTGATACAACCAATCGGACTAAAATGATGGAAGAAATAGAGCAGTTCGGGATCCCAGTAAAATTAATAAATATGGTAACAGTGAGTCTAAACATAGATGATACAGGTATACAGGTTATTTATTTTATTTATCATATGGCATACAATAAGAACACATAGTTGAATAGCAATATAAAACATTACATGGAGTACAAACGAACATCTAATGTATGATTAATATAATGAAAAACATTTTCGGTCAGGAACTCATCGAAAACTCCAGGGAATCTCCTTCGGGGGCATTTTTCAACAATGTAACGGACGGTCTGTCATTGCGCACCACAGTCACACTCAGGAGTAAGGGCTTTTCTCAATCTATATAAGCTATCGGCACAGCTACCGCTGCTTGTTCTTATTCTGTTTAGCGTTGTCCATGTATTGCGGGTCAGTTCAAAGCCTGGAGGTTTCCGATCGATACAGGCCATTTGGTGTGCTTCCTGTGGTGAGTCGATCTGCCATTGTCTCCTTCAAGCATTGGTGAGGTTGAAATGTTCCTGATGTAAGGAGTTGGCTCTTAACATATCTGGAGTACAGTCTGTTTATTTCGATATCAAGACTATCATGGTTTACGGTAGTTGATGGTTAGCCTCGATTTTTCGAAATTCTTTGAGAACAGAATTACTTCTTCGAAATTTCAACGGTGAAATGTGACTCAGAATGGGAAGCCAATAGTTCGGTGTGGATCAAATAATTGTACCTGAGATCATTCGCATTGTCTGGTTTAATTGGGTATCAATAGTCTTCGTGTGTTTGCTATTGACCGATACCGGTTAAGCATATTCAGCCGCCGAGAATACAAGTTCAAGGGCGGATGATTCTGTGTACGGAGGCTGAGGACCCCCCTGTGGTACCACATATCTTTTGGACTATATTATTTCGCATTTTCAGATTTGCTGCTGTAGGTGTTCTTTAAACCTTAATGTTCTATCCAGAGTCACTCACAAATCACAAGATATTTTGGTATTGAGTTATGAGTTGTGCAGTCTATTTTCAAAGTAAACGGAGAGTTTTTTGTTGGCTTGGCATTATTCAGATGGAAACAGCACACTTCGGTTTTCGTTGCATTGGGCCGTAGCCTCCATTTGCGAAACTATTCTCCCATAACGGCAATGGCATCCGTTAGTATTGTTTCAGTAATATCCATGTTATTATGTCTTGCTGCAATGGCCCAGTCGTCAGCATAGACAACTTTCTGCGAAGTAGTCCCAGGTAGGTCCGCGATGTATAAATTAAACAGTAAGGGTGCCAAAACAGATCCCTGTGGCAGTCCATTGCTGACAATTAATTCTTCAAAGAAAAGGCGAAGAATTTCAGAAGATATTTGTAGAAATATTTTATTAGATATTAAGTTATCATACGTACATATCATGATATGCTCATAAGTGAGGTAATGTCTTAAGATTTTGTTTATCACCATTTAATTTGAGTATCATTTAAGTTAAAATGAAATTCATACTTCTACTTTACCCAGTTATAAAGGTATTCCACATAAATCCCGATAGACCTACACATCTACGTCCCAAAACTCACCGTTCTGTCCTTCAAAACATCTGAGGGCCGGTTTGCAAGGTGAACATACTTGTTGAATTTTTCTTTTCTCTTTTAATTTTTACTTCCCATCCAGACAATTTGCGTTACAATATGGTACAGGTAGTTATTGAAATTATAATTGATATATTAAATTATGAAAGTAAAAAAAAATATATTTCAAGGTAGTTGATAAGTTAATTAGTTGATTCTTAAATAGACGAGAGCATCGAAAAAAAAATTGAAAAGTTTGACATTGGGGGTCTAGTGAAACCAAAAATATCTGTAAGTGGGGCAAAAAATTAGATAACTGTAACAATAATTATATTCAAATTTAGTAAAAGACATAAAAGTGTTAAAAAACCGTGTTTATTTAAATTTGGGATTACCTGGAATCACAAAGCTGAGAATTGTCCCTTTTCATGTCAAACGACTGGAAATTAATGTTTTCTTGATTTTCGTTTTCGAAATTATCGTTGAATACATCATCTTCCAATTCGCGGTCGGATAAGTTGGGATCCATATCGCTGAGCGGTAACCGCAAAATATTAGAAGACTGAGCTCTACTGTCTCCTCCATCAATTGAGACCAGTTGTTCCTGGAAAAAATATAGAATAAAAAGAAGTTAACTGACAATATTATAGTGTGGTCTGTGTAAAACGGAATTGCATGGTCGTGAACAAATAGACGGAATTGAATTGATATGTGTTATAATTAGGGTGACCATAATTTTTCAACAACAAAAAAGTACATCTATAATTTTTAAGAAAATATGTACACTGTTAGTGCCCCAGGAATTTTTTCTGGTCAAAATTTTATGAATCTTTAATGAAACAATGATAAGAACGATTTTTTAGTTAAACATAAGTACTCTTATTTTCAGTGATTGAGCCTTTATGCGTATGTTTTGTTTTCTCAACTTTTGGAATAATTTTTGAGTACTTCAAGAAAACTTTCCAAGTACCCAGCTTCAAGTTCGAAAACGCCAAGACTTATATATGCGCACAATTCACTGTCCAATGAAATACACAAAGTTAATAAACATAAGTACATAAAAAATGTATGATAAATTGTATTAGTTAATTTTCTTTCGACGTTCCTTCCTGAACATCTTGATCATCATTTTGGTACCAGTCGTACTTTTTGGAACTATGAATTTCCTTCAGAAGTTGTGGTTTACTCTTTGTAAACTGAAACTGTTGAAACTGAAACATTTCATTACACGAAACTTTGAAGTTTGTGTAGACTTACATGATGGCTTCCAAAGTAGATATTTTCAACTGCGATTTGTTGGGACTCCAATAGTTATTGATATTTGAGAACAACCGCTCAATCGACGCACTGGTCCCGGCAGACAAAAAACAAACTCACATAGAATTTTGAGATTTTCCAAAGCCCTTTTTTTTGGAAGATTTCGAGCCATCGATCTTCGGTAGAAATATTTTTCGATTTCCAGTCTGTGATTTTATTTTCTGTAACGTAGGTTCGTATGAGACTAACTTTATCACTTCATCAAACAGTTCGTCCTGATTCAATATCGGACCTACGTAGTCTTTGAAAGCCTCACACGACGATAAAATTTCAGCCCAAGAAACTTGTTTTTTCAAGCGGTAAAAATAACTTATTTAAGCGATTTTGAAGCTTATTTATAAGTTCGAAATACTCCAAAGCGGCTTCCATTGCGCTTATTTTGTCACCTTCTACATCTAAAATCACTGTGTGGAACAGAGACGCAATGTTATGCACAAACCACAACCCTGCTTCACTAATTGGGTTTTGAAAAAACTGTTTTAGAACTGTTGGACAATTAACAATCGACAAAAAATATGCTTTTAAGGTATCGAACATTTGTATAATTGGTTCAGTGGCTGGCATTAGGCTCAAAAATCTTGTTTTTGAAAACGACAACATTTTTGTACTCGATATCAACAAAATCGCAAAACTGTTTTAATTTTTCCACTCTGACTGTAAAAATATAGAAATACTTAAAAATCTTGACCGCAGTAACCTCGATGTCTATTGGTAAGACGACCGTCGCATTTTGTAAACAGTTATTAAAAATATGTGTCACACAACCAATTCCAATCATGGGTTTACCACGAGAAGCATTTAATTTGCTGAATAGATTATTCACTCCTTTTTTTCTCATTCCACCAAAATTTGTATTTGTATTTTCACCAGACATTCCGATGAATTTTGTTTTTGAAGGTCAATTTCTAATTGGGATTGAGCCTATTGAGCTAAAACATTTTTAACAATCGCCTCAGTCTTGGTTCGAGATGCCGCAAATTTAGGTTCAGACATGCTTACAATTAGTTTTGACGTGCAGTCTAAGGATCTGCAACTTTGCAAATGCTTAATTTTATGGTAAGCAAAAGTACCTTCCTTGGCAGCTATCAATATATTTTCTTAAATTTTCTTTTTTAACAAAGGTTTTCAATTTGCTGCTCTTCGAGTTCGCATTAGTAGCCAACATGTGTTTTTTCTTTGACAAATGTTGTTTGATATTACTGTGACCACTGTTAGAAATATCAGCATCACTTTTACAAATTTGGCAAAACACAATATGCGGTGAAACATTTGATTTTTGTTTCATAAAAGGATACTCTGCTTGCAATTCGACGTTAAAATGGCATTTTCTTCTAGGCGGTGACATGACGAAATTGTTTATTTTTCCACACAACACAAAATAATATAAAAAAAACGAGAAAAAGTGTCGGTAAATAGTAATCAACAGTGAGCGCATCAATTTGAATCATAATTATATTTTGTTTGTACAAAAAGTAGGACTTAATTTTGTGTAATTAAGAAAAAGAGTACATTAAGGTGTACTTCATAAATTTTAAAGTACAATAGGACAGCGTTTGAAAAGAAAGTACTATCCTACTAAAAAAAAGTACATATGGTCACCCTAGTTATAATATGCGTTAAAATATTGGATAAACACATACAAGGTTTCACTACAGATGTGTTGTAAAAACAATAAGTTGTATTAAAATTAGTTTATTTTTCGTTTTCACAAAAAATATTGGCTTGAATCTTATGTGACAGTGTTAAAAATTGTTTAGTTTTTTTTGACACCAGATTTTATAATTGAGGTAGTTCAACAAACTTGTATATACAGCACTCAAACAAAGCCAATTACCACATTGTCCTGTAGAAATTGAAAATTTTATGAGGATATTGCTGTGGATGTCTCTAATAAGACAACGTACTACAAGACGCTATTGGGCTCCGACAACAAGAATTTCACAAGTTGCAGAAGTAATGCCTATCAATCGTTTTAAAACAATCAAGAGGTTTCTTCATTTTAGTAGAGTCTTGATAAAATCTCGCCCATGATTGAACACATCAGATACCTTTAGAAGAACACTTATCTTGTGATTAACAAGTTATATCGTTCGAAGAACGTTCGAGTATGAAGATATATATTCCCAAAAAGCCTCATAAACGGGGATACAAGATGTGGGTTTTCTCAAAAATCTCAGGATTTTTATTTAATTTTGAAATTTTGGCTGCAAAAATGGTTACACAAAATCACCGAATGAAGTAAATTTGGGAGCTGCTATTCATTTAACAGGGAAATACCGTCCAATAAACACCACAAACTCTTTTATTCAAACGAATTCTGAATTATAAAGGTTGGCAAAAGAAATAAATTAAAAAATTACAAAGTGGAAGCATTCAAGAACACTGGTACTTATGAGAATACTCCAATACATACAGTCCAGTGGTGTGACAAGGAAATTGTGTCTTTACTGTCAGATTATTGTGGAACTCAACCAACAGCCAAAGTGGAAAGATTCTTTCTTTCGCACCGAAAGAATTAGGAAAGACATTGATTGCCCAGACATTGTACAACAATATAACAGTAGTAGTAGTATCTGAACAACTAACTAACAGTGATGTTTTACAAAAAAGAAAAGTAGGTCGACCTAGAAGTTCAACACCCAAACAACCATCCAAAAGAAAATGCATTCAATCTAGACCCAATATACAAGGTGGTCCAGAATTATGTACATTAATTTCTAGATCTCATAGTACGTCCAAAAATAAGGGTACTTCTTTATGTACACTTTTTTACAAAACTGAATAATAAGGGAGATACAACCCTTTAAAGGGGTGAATTGAAATTCTTATTTTTTCAAATATCTTCCAAACGGTTTTGAATACGGAGTTCATATTTTGGGAGTGATTATAAGACATTAGGATAATTAATTTCATGTCACCCCCTACCACATCCTATATTAATACAGGGTAGTTTTGGAGAGTAAGTGGGGGTTATTGCGTCACATGTTTTTTTAATTTTTACATATTTTAAAAAAATATTAAAAATTTTTTCCTTAGACTTTTCTACGCAAAAAAGGTGCTCTCGTAATATTTCGATAGATATCACCGTTTTCGACTTATTTAAACTCGAAGGTATACATGTATTTTATTGTAATCGTTACATTTCTTAATATTCATCAAGTATGCTTTGGAATTGACACTTGTGTTAGCAATAATATTACAAATTAATGGAAAACTTAATTAATACTTAACATTTAATTAATGGCGAAAATAATATTTCACAACTGTTCAAAATGCACTCCATTTTGTTGAATACATAATCTAATTCTTTTATTTAGCGAACGCATTAATCCATTTAATGTTACTGGATCGTTTTGTAAATCGGTAAATACTTGTTCAATTTTGTCTCTTAACTCATTTATTGTATTAATTGGAGTGTTATACACTTTTGATTTCAAATAACTCCATACTGTAAAGTCCATTGGATTAAGATCACAACTACGAGCAGGCCAATGAATCGGTGCATCCGCACCCCGGCCTAACAACCTATCAGGGAAATGTTCATGTAACCACCTTCTACAAATTCTTGTGTAATGTGGTGTAGCACCATCATGCATGAAAAACATGTTTCTTCGTATTTGTAATGGAATATCTTCCAAAATATCATGTAAAATATTGTCTAGAAAATTGTAATACATGTTACCATTTAAATTTCCGGGAAAGATGTGGTATCCTATGAAACTATTTCCTAAAGTAGCTGCCCAAACGTTTATCTTGAACGTGTATTGGAAGTGAATTTCCATTGTAGCCCTTGGATTTTCTTCAGCCCAGAAGTGCATATTTCTAGAATTGAACATACCTTGTCTTGTAAATGTGGCCTCGTCTGTAAACAGAATGTTGCTTAAAAAATTTGGTGCAGTTTGAACTTTATTTTGCAATACTTCACAAAAATCAACTCTAAGTGGCATATCGTCAGATAACAATTCCTGCACCTGTCGATAGTGGTAAGGATGTAATTGCTCTTCATGCAGAACTCTTAAAACACTTTGATGGGAAATATTCGTTCTTAATCCTAACCTGCGTGTACTTATTGTGGAATCATTTATTACAGCATCCAATATTTGCTGTTCAACGCGAACATTTCTTGCTTCTCTACGACGACCAGCATCTGTATTCCATCTTTGAAGACAACCGGTTTCTGTCAGTCGTCGTTCAGTACTTACAAAAGTCCTGGCATTGGGAATATTTCTGTTCGGATACTTTTCTCTGTAGTGTCTTACAGCATTTCCCGAACATTCCCATAATACTAAAAGTATGTCTGTCATCTCAGAATTTGAATAGTGTGCCATATTGCTCAAACAAATTTAAAAATATAACAAAAGAGAGGTGTTAAACAAATTTCACTGTCGAGTATAATAAAAGTGTAGATAAAATAATTTAATTGTTATTAAACGTCACTGACAATTCATAGACTACTTGAGATTAAAGTGTTGTTACTAACACAAGTGTCAATTCCAAAGCATACTTGATGAATATTAAGAAATGTAACGATTACAATAAAATACATGTATACCTTCGAGTTTAAATAAATCGAAATATTACAAGAGCACCTTTTTTGCGTAGAAAAGTCTAAGGAAACAATTTTTAAAATATTTTTTAAAATATGTAAAAATTAAAAAACATGTGACGCAATAATCCCCACTTACCCTCCAAAACTACCCTGTATTAATATAGGATGTGGTAGGTAGTGACATGTAATTAATTATCCTAATGTCTTATAATCACTCCCAAAATATGAACTCTGTATTCAAAACCGTTTGGAAGATATTTGAAAAAATAAGAATTTCAATTCACCCCTTTAAAGGGTTGTATCTCCCTTATTATTCAGTTTTATAAAAAAGTGTACATAAAGAAGTGCCCTTATTTTTGGACGTACTATGAGCTCTAGAAATTAATGTACATCATTCTGGACTACCTTGTATATGTACAAACAGATCAGTTTTCACACTGGCCAAACTGGACTGTAAACAGGGAAAAATGTAAGATGATAAACTGTAAGGGAAAAATCAAGGGTCCAGTGCGAGAAATGTAAGGTGCATTTATGCTTTCATTCTAAAAGTAGTAACTGTTTTAAGAAGTTTGACAATTTGGAATAGTTTGATACTGACAATACATCGATCTAATGTGTATGACAATTGGTTCTAAGAAAAATTTTTATACATAATGTTCCCAAATGGGCACCATTTTTTTTCCCAAAAACCGGAACATTTAAAAAAATGTGTAACGGAGAATTCTACATACAACAATTAAGAGTATTTTAATATAATTTTATTTTATTTTGTCAAAAAATAAAATAAAATAAATTCATGCAATAGAGGGTTAAATAAAAATGTTTGTATTATGCATATTTATTGGAAAAAGTACATACCTTAAAATCTGAATCCTTTGTATCATCCGTTGTAAAAATAAGTTCGATATCATCGACTTCCTCGGCTTGATCCGTATCATTTTGAGGACTATGAACTTCGTTAGACTCTTCTTCGTCACCTACATTGTTCTCAGCCGGTTCTGTATCTTTATGGCTCATGTCTTCATCAATATCTAAATGGAATTCTCGGCTAATATGACTAGATAAGTTCGAGAAGCTGAATGTTTTCGAAAAAGATAATTTATTTTTAGATTCTATCGGAGATTTCAGTACAGTGAGACTTTCTAGGGATCTAGAAACATTTCCTGGGCTGATTGTTTCAGATTTGATCGAAATGCGTGCTTCTAAGTTACGTATGCGCTTGGGACTTAGTTTGGGTGAAACTATAGTAACTTTTTTTACTTTTGGTTCTGATTGGTAAGTATCTTCTAGTTGGTAACTAGGTTTGGCTAGATAATGTTGCTCTTTTGGCGTTGATTTTTCACTTATACTTTTGGGTGATTCAGTTTTAGTCAAAGACTCTACTGCAATTATTTCCTTTCGTGGTGTAACTGTTTCGTTTGATGGTTTTGAAGACTCTTCCACTGTAATATTAAAAGGTTGATATTAATCGTGAAGTCAAAGTAAAAAAATCTAGTAAAAGTGATAATAATAATAATAATATTTCTTTTGAGCAAGCAGAGAAGAATTTCTATAGGAAACTTAATTCCACTGCAGAAAATGCAAATAAATCCTACCCAAGCCAAGAAGAAATTCAGAAATTCATTAGTTTTGGGGAAACCAACTTTCGGGGCCAGCTACTCATAACAACAACGCTAGATGGATTGAAGAAACGAAGAACAACTGTCAACACTACAGTAATATTCCCTATGAACCTTTCACCACTGAAGAAGTCTTGAACAATATCAAAGAGTTTCGTAACTGGAAATCTCCCGGACCAGACGCAGTTCAAAACTTCTGGCTAAAGAATTTTTGGAGTGCTCATGAGCTTTTAACAGTATTTATTAATAATATTATTTCTAATTCACAGGAAACACCATCATTTCTTACTCAGAGAACCACTAATCTAATACCGAAGGATCAAAATAATACCCAAGATCCAGCCAAGTACCGCCCAATTACTTGTCTTGCAACTATGTACAAATTGGTCACATCCTGTGTGGCTCGGCGAATCTACCAACCCTGTGCTCTGAACAATATCATACAGACCCAACAAAAAGGATGCGCTAAGGGCTCCATGGGCTGCAAAGAACAACTTATTATCGACTCAGTCATTTCTAACCAGGTATACACCAAAAAAGAAACCTTTTTACTGTCTTCATTGACTACAAGAAGGCTTTTCATTCAATGCCGCATGAATGACTTATAGATATATTGAAAATACATAAAGTCGATGATAATCTCGTGACCTTTTTGAAGCAGATAATTTCAGAGTGGAAGAGTAAAATTCACCTTCAAATACCTGGTGAAATTAATATCGAAACTGAAGATATCCCTATTAACCGGGGCCTTTTCCATGGAGACACGTTGAGTCCACTTTGGTTTTGCCTAGCGATGAACCCACTATCTCAGCTGCTAAACTCCACTGACTCAGGATTTAGCATCAAAAATAACAACACTGATGTGGCGAAGCTTAATCATCTGTTGTATATGGATGATTTAAAATTAATGGCTTCCACGAAGGAAAGGTTCAGCCCGGAGGTTTCGATATGCAAGATGGCTAAAACTCATCGAATATAGATTTCTGAACAATAAAACTCGAACGAAAGAGAATTTGAATTTTAACACTACTTACTTAAATTTCACTTACCTTCCAAAACGTTTACCTCCTCAATACTCTTGGGCTTCTCACCAACATCCTCACGACTTTCATCAGTTTCTTGTACTCCTGATTGTTGATTATCAGCTTTTAGCAGCTTTTGCCTAAGTATATGATTTTCCAAGGACAAAATCTGAAAAGCTTCCTGCACTGTTTCGATCGGCCAAGCCTTATTCTTCAACTGCAAAATCTCTGACTTGCTCTCCTCAAGGGCAGCTCTAAGTGCAACAACAGTTTGATGCAACGCCCTCACAGCTTCTAGACCTGGCTCCCTTCGACTCTCCCCTCCATAATCCATTTTAAAGTTCTCATATCCATGCTGATAATAGCACTTGATAGTACTTAAGTTTTCAGTTTCGTGTTTTTAGTCATTTTTGCCGTTGGAATCTGTAACAATATAATCATGATTGAAATTAAAAATTGAGGAGACAAACTCAAAATATTGAAGCCAAAAGGAAAGCTTAAGAACTCACGATAGAAGCTGTAGATACGCAATGATATAGATTATATCATTTATCTTTGTTTATCTTTATAAGACAACACCCTAATATGGGTTTTATTATTTCAGCATTTCATTAACTTTGTATCGAGACCTGAAGATGCTTTGCATATTGTAGAAAGCGAAACCGGTCGTCTAGATAGTTAAATTAAAGTGATTGTGAGTAAGTTTTATTTATTATTTCTTTTACCTATTTGAAATGGACTCACACAAGTAACACATTCATGATTTAAATAACAAGGTGTATAACACATGCATACTACCAGTTTGTACCTACGGCTTGGAGACAGTAGCCCTTACTAAAAAATCTGCTAAAAAATTAGAAACCACGCAAAGAGCAATAGAACGAATCATGCTTGGAATATCACTAAGAGATAAGATTAGAAACACCGAGATAAGACTTAGAACGAAGATTAGGGATATTGTGAAAGAAATTACAAAAATGAAATGGCTCTGTGCAGTTCACGTAGCCCGATTGAATGACAACAGGTGGACACGGAGAATTCTAGAATGGAGACCAAGAACGACAACAAGAAGCATGGGAAGACCACAAAAAAGATGGGTAGATGACATAAGAGCAGTGGCAGGCAAACAGAGGATTAGATTGGTGCAAGATAGAGAAAGATGGAAGCAATTGGGAGATACCTACATTCAGGAGTGGATGGAAAATGGTTGACAAAGAAGAAGAGAGACACTCAATGTAACTGAAATTGCACCTTACCGGTTACGGGTTAATGAATAATGAAATCATTAAATTTGTAAAAATATCCAAATCTGATAAACATATTTTTTATAAAATATAATCCCCAAGTCAATATCAACTCCATTCATTTATAATAACGTTGTCAGATTTAATTCCTTACGACGACATTGTGAATCCCTTATTAAATATTAAATTGAAAATGCTTTGAAGTTAAAATAATAGGTTTTCAAAAACAACTACTTGTACGATGTCGTGGGAAATATTGATTTTCATCCCTCTAGAAATCAAGTTTGAAAACAAACGTTGTAATAATTTTATTTCTTATTAATAAAACCTTTCTCAGTCGATTTTTTGTATTACTGGCATACAAATGAGACAGAGAAATACAAAATATTTGAAAAAGAGATATGCATTAGATCGTGAGTCAGAATAAACTACAATCATTAACAAATCTAGTTACTTTTTTTCGCTACCCCTACTGTTACTAAATTTGTTTCACCTTATTTTTATAGCAATAATTATTCTTTAAAATATATAAAAATGAAAATCGCTTAAAGATAATGTTGGGAAAGATGATGATGATTGTTTCTTAGATTGGGATGGTTGGAAAGATTCGAACGTAGTTATGAGGTTCGAATCGATTTGTAAATGCCTCTTTGTCCGCTTTTTGTCGATCGAAGATGATAAATATAATAAAAGGTTGAAGTTATGCAGAAAATGTTCATTTTATTGACAGGTACTGGTAATTACATAATATGACGTTCGTTAGGTAACTACTTGTAATAAACTACTCACATGAGCTCAAATCCCCAATTTATAATCTCACAAATCATTCATACCTCAGCACAGAGGTTATTGCTTCGTTCATACCATACCAACAAACTTTGAACTATTTGCTTACATTACAATTTTGTAATTATGAAAATATTATACGATATGATTTTACAATGCCTCACTTATACACGGTTGAAACTATAAAAGATTAAGAAGTTAAGAATAATGTGAGATTACAAATTAAGGGGTTAATTTGTGATTGAACAATGGTATTTACACTTAAGAATTAAAACTTGAAAATTGATACAAGGCTGTTTTATCGGTGCACCAAAACCTAGGAACTGTTATTTACCGACAAAATGTCTCGAAATTTGGACACAATATTCGAAACTATGTTGCTTTTAAAATGATAGTTTTATTTTGTTTTTTATGTTTTTGTTACTTCTGTTGAAAAATTGGATTATACTGTTTAACGTTCTATTATAACCAAACTTTTTACACCCATCACTTGAAAGAGTTTTTTTTGTAATCGTTGATTTTTTTTTCACCTTTCTATGTCCAGTAATAATCGAGAAAAGCGTGTTCAAACTTTGAAGAAAATTGCTAAAAAATACTAAAATCTAATAGTGAAACGTGTTACTCATCATTGTCGCTTAGGTTCACAGTTATCGCCTTCGTAACGTCAAATTTCATCAGCGTACGGTTCGTGTTAAAACTAATTTGAATGGAGAGTAATACATTTGTTGCCCGTTGGCCGACGCCACTGAGTAAAGATAGTCTCGCGTAAGCAGTGTAGAAATGTAAGTGATACGCCCATTTCAAATCGCAGTGTGCTTGAACTGCTAAAACAGCCTTAAGGTATACCTATATGGTGTTAATTTAAAATGTAATTGAAAGTCATAAAAAGATTCTTTAGAAATTAAATCAAGAAGCTTCTTAATCTATATGAGATTAATTAGAAACACAATTTTTAGAACACTGAAAACTTTGTTTTCAAACTTCCACAAAATTTATTTTAACTATTATCACTACAGCTGTTTCGGCTGATAGCCTTTCTCAAGTGATCTATTTTTGGCATGCGTTTACAATTTATAGACTCTAATGAAATAGGTTGAGGAGGGGAGAACTGTTTGTCTCAAGTTGGTCATTCAGAATTATATCTGTGTTTTTTAATTTATTGATTTCCATAGATTCTAACAAAGATAGCTTAAGGCCTTTATTTTGAACGTGAAGAATTTTAAATTTGTCATTGAAAGAATGATTATGATCTAGAAGGTGAAGTGCGTATGTCGAATCTGTTTTTCTATTCTTGAAAGCTATTTTATGTTCTGCTATTCGTTTCTCAAAGTTTCTACCAGTTTGACCGATGTAAGTTTTTGGGCAGTCGCCACATTGAATTTTATACACACCACTATTTAAGTGTTTTTTATTTTGGCTCTTGTTATTTTTAATATATTTACCTAGGTTGTTATTTGTTCGGAAAGCTGGTGTTATTCCTTTCTTTTTTATATGTTTGGCAATTTTTGTTGTTATTTTGCCTGTATATGTAATCGAGCAGAAGGTACTGGGTTTTTTCTCTGGTGGTGGAAATACTATTTTCAGGGCTTTGTTGTGTAGTTTTCCACCACCACCACCAGAGAAAAAACCCAGTACCTTCTGCTCGATTACATATACAGGCAAAATAACAACAAAAATTGCCAAACATATAAAAAAGAAAGGAATAACACCAGCTTTCCGAACAAATAACAACCTAGGTAAATATATTAAAAATAACAAGAGCCAAAATAAAAAACACTTAAATAGTGGTGTGTATAAAATTCAATGTGGCGACTGCCCAAAAACTTACATCGGTCAAACTGGTAGAAACTTTGAGAAACGAATAGCAGAACATAAAATAGCTTTCAAGAATAGAAAAACAGATTCGACATACGCACTTCACCTTCTAGATCATAATCATTCTTTCAATGACAAATTTAAAATTCTTCACGTTCAAAATAAAGGCCTTAAGCTATCTTTGTTAGAATCTATGGAAATCAATAAATTAAAAAACACAGATATAATTCTGAATGACCAACTTGAGACAAACAGTTCTCCCCTCCTCAACCTATTTCATTAGAGTCTATAAATTGTAAACGCATGCCAAAAATAGATCACTTGAGAAAGGCAATCAGCCGAAACAGCTGTAGTGATAATAGTTAAAATAAATTTTGTGGAAGTTTGAAAACAAAGTTTTCAGTGTTTTATTGTTACATAAAATGAATTTCCATCAAGTAACGGTCGAATCCATCAACAATTTTTAGACTTAATTTGTAAAATTAAAAGTTTGTATCTCTTTTGTTTATGAATATTAAGAGTTGAAATTTTCTCAGATTATCAAAGACTATCCATAGTTTATAATGCAATTAATAAATATGCCATTTATGGTTAAACTAAACACCAGTCTATCTGGGAAAAAATTATCGATTTTACGTAAAAATTTCATACAGATATTTGATGGTTCTAAAAGGTATATGAGGGGTAGCTGATTTTGCTTTATTTCTTTTTTAAAGAATCTTAACACGTTCGACACCATGGGGGTCACCGGTGACCACCAGCTCTGACGTCCCATTGCGCCGTGGGGGTCACCGGTGACCTCCGCAACAATATACACGCCATACAACGCATTATACAAAGTTGTTTTCTGTGCCATCGGTCACTCGTTTCGTTAATATTATCTATAGAAATGACCGTCAAGGTGCTGTAGAATAAATCTTTTGAATGGGACAAATCTACCTAGATAAGTAAAAAATATATAGAATGAGTTTTCAATTTTTATGTAATGTTATTAAAAATAATATTAGTTCAAAGACAACTAAACGAAAATTTAATTTGAGAAAATATTGTAAAATATTGTATTAGAAAATATTGTATTAGTTCAAAGACAACTAAACGAAAATTTAATTTGAGAAAATATTGGTGAAAACACAATTTACAAGGTCAAAGCTAAAAAATCAGACTTGGTGACACATTGGATTTGATGGAACAACGGCGACTAGCGAAAAACAACGAAACACTTTACAACAGCATACAAAAAGAAATTCGACGTAAAATACGAAAAGCAAAGAGTCAACATCTAGCCAAACAGTGTCATGACATTGAAGAACTGGAAAACAGATACGACATGTTTAACATGTATAAAAAAGTGAAACAAGCGGCTGGTATCTTCAATAAGAAACAAACTGCATTGCTACAGGTTGAATATGGTAAAGTAATATTTGAAGTAGAGGACAAACTTAAACAATGGGAAAGTTACGTCTCGAACCTATTCGAAGACGATAGGAGT